ACTGATGGTTAGTAGACATTTTGATGAGTTGGGGCTCACAAACTGTACAGAGTTCACACTTCGGTGTTCTCAGGATTGAATATATATATATTCTTTTACTACCTTCTTGAGCTATATACATAGTTTATTTCTATTCATTTTTTTGTTGTTGTTGTAAGACCCTCGTGACCTGCAAACCATAAAAAAAATTAAATAACACCGAGACCTTTTGATATTTTAAAGCTTAGGCCTTATCTGGGCAGACTCAGTTCATCTAAGTTAACCCAAACACCTAGTCCCAACTCACCATGTGGCTAGCTATACCTTCCAGGCCTGTAGTCACATCTGTCTCCTCTCATGTTTCCTGGCAAAAGACCTTTTTATTTCTTCTTCTCAGCCCCACTCTCCCTCCTTGAATTTTCATGCTTCTGATTCCCAAAAGCTGGAATTTGAGGTACCATGTCTGTCTATAAAGCTTTAGCTATTTATTCATTTGTTTATTAGCTATACTAGTTACTTCTCTATTACTGTGATAAAATACCATGACCAAGGCAATTTAAAGCAGGAGTTTATTTAGCTTATGGTTCCAGAGTATTAACAGTCTTCCATGACAGGGAAGTATGGTGACAAGCAACAGGTCTGACAGCTGAAGAGGAAGCTAAAGACTCATATCTTGAACCACAAGCAAGAAGCAGAGAACACAAGCTTGTAACGGCACAAAGCTTTGAAAACCCAATGCCCCCCTTACCTCCTCCCATGGCACACTTCCTCCAGCAAGATCACACCTCTAAGACCTAAACCAAGTAGAGACAAAGTACAAATACCAGAGCCCTCGGGGGACATTCTCGTTCAAATTACTAGTGTTTTTATGAAGTAGCGTTTCATTCTGAAGCCTGGCCTGACAGGAAACTCACTATATTGCTCAGGTTTGGCTCAAGTCTAGGTAATATCCTTCCTCAGCTTTCCGGGTGCTGAGATTAAAGGCATGAGCACCATACCTTAGCTCCTATTATTTTTTTTAATTAATTCCAAATTTTATTGCAGTGTAATCAAAGACTTTAATCTAAATGAGTTCTTATCTGGAACTTCATCAACACCTTCTTTGTGTTTTAGCAAGCTGGTTAATGTTTCATATGTGTTTGAAGAGACTAGACATTCACTCTTTATTGTGGACAAAGTCCTTTACTCAAGCAAGCTGCTTGGTTGTGTTGTTCAAATTCTGTCACTCCAACAGTTCTCCTCTCTGATCTGTCGGTTTCTGAGGTTTCTGTTAGTTTTCCAAAAGTTATGAAGGTTTTTGTTCTTGCATTTCTGAAAATTTTTACTGTACATATTCTGCGATAAACATCGCTGCTAGTAAAACTTCTCATAAAATTTATTTTCATCAGTAAGAATATTGTTTTGTTTTTTGTTTTTTGTTTTTTTTTTTTTGGTTTGGCATTCAATTTGTTTGTTTCATCTAACACTGTTACCTTGTTACATATTTCAATGTATGCTATTTTACTTTAAGTAGCCATTCAAATGAACATTTGCCCACTCCTTAGTTCTACACAGTTCATTGAACTTCTATACAGTTAGAGTGGCCATTCTGAAGCCCTGGGGCTTTGCTTAGGGTTTGACATTTTCACTATCAGTTACATGTTGATGCACTTAACTACCACAAGAAAAATAACAGCAAACTATGACTGCATTGAAATAGACTCAAAAAACTTTTTAAAATAATTTACTTAATCGTATTTTATGTCCACTGGTGTAAGAGCATCAGACCACCTGGAACTGGAGTTATAGACAGTTGTGAGAAGCCATGTGGGTGCCGGGAGTTGAACCCGGGTCCTTTGGAAGAGCAGACAGTGCTCTTAACCACTGAGCTGTCTCTCCAGCCCCTCAAAAGCTTTTTTTTTTTTTAAAGTTATTTTTATGTGTATGAGTATTCTGCCTGAATGTGTATATGTACACTTTGTGTCTGCTGGTGTCCACAGAGGTCAGAAGAGGATCTTCAGTCTCCTGGAACTGGAGTTACAGACAGCTGTGAGCCACCATACAGTTGCTGGGAACTGACCCCCAGTCCTCTGAAAGAGCAGTAAGTGTTCTTAAACCATGGAGCCATCTTTCTAGCCCCTCATAGACGCTTTATAACATTATTTACATTCTAAATAGAATAGCTAGATACGATGCTATTCATTTACCAAATTTTAAATTATTTCCCTCTATTGAAGAAATTTCATCCATTTTCACTGAATGACAGATTGATTTTTCTCTTCCACTTAATAGTCTGTGTTTATACTTTCAGAACTCATATCTGTTCATCATAGCTTTATTCTGACACTCTTCAATTGCAATCATCAAGACTAGGAGTTGGTCTGTTCCTTCCTTTTGTAAATAAAGTTTTACTAGACACAGACACACTATTCAGGTACTAATTTATCTATGACAGCTTTCACAGTTGTGATGAAAGACCATATGGATCATAAAACTGAAATAATTACTGTTTGGCTTTTTGTTCTGTTTTGTTTTGTTTTGTTTTGTTTTGTTTTGTTTTGTTTTTGAGACATGGTTTCTCTGTGAAATCCTGGCTGTCCTGGGACTTGCTTCATAGGCTAGGCTGGCCTCGAACTCACAGATATCTGCCTGCCTCTGCCTCCCAGAGTGCTGGGATTACAGGTGTGGACCACTGCACCAGGATACTGCATAGCCTTTTATTGAAGCAGATCTGTAAACATGTAATCCAGATTTTCATTTTAATCACATTATTGCTACACAACTACAAATTAACTAATTTTCTCCCTCTCCATTTATTCTTGAACTTTGTCTTCAGTCTTTTTTGGACTCTTATTTTGTTGACATGTATCACATAGTATTTGTTTCAAAGAATTCTATTGTTGGTATATATCTATTAAGATTTTTATTTGAAAAAGAACATTTTAGGGGCTGAAAAAAAAATGGCCCAGCATCCAAGAATAGTTGCTGCTCTTCCTAGCATCCATACCTGGCAACCCACAACTTCCTGGATCTGTGACTCCAGAATCTGAGGTCTTCTTCTGACATCTGTGAGCATTCATACTTATGGTGTACTCTCACATAGACATGCAAATAAGAACAAAATTTTTAAAAACTGAAATAGAGTCCATGTAGGCTCTGTCTGCTCTAGAACTTGCTGTAGACCAGGCTGGCTTTAGACTCAGAGATCTCCCTGCCTCTGCCTTCTGAGTGCTGGGACTAAAGGTGTGTGCCACCATAGTAGACAAAAAAACACATGGTAGTACATGCTTATAATCAAGAACTGAGGAGGATGTGGGAAGATGATAGAGAGCTCAAGGCCAGCTTGGCTATATCGGAGAGTCTGTCTCAAAAAAAGGTAAGACTAAAAGAAAGAAAAACATCATGGTTTAAAGCTCGAAAATCACTGCTTCCTGGAGAACACATACAGAAGGAATAGTTGCTTTTTGTGTAATACAGGGATATGGTTTACTTACATACTTATGCTTTTCTTAAGATTATAAATTTATAAAATAATTTTTTACCTTTCCCTTTCATCTGTCGGCTCTTTATGTGCTGCATCTTCTACTTGTTGAACTTGGAGTTTCCATGAGCCAGCATGTTTCTTGTATTCGTCACATCTGTAGATGAGACTCTCCTTTGGCTCTCTGCTTCTGCTTTGAACGGGTGGGCTGGTGGTCTCAGGGAAAGGGATGGTCACGCTGGGAGACAGAATGTTTATTTGCAGAGGAGCCTCCTCTCCTGGAGTCCCCTGTTACTATCGCTGTCCCTCGCCTTCCAGGATCTGCCAATACATTTTAACCATGGACGTTATGAGTAGATAAAGGGAAGGGAGCTGGCAGTTTCTTAATCAGTTACTCTGCCTATTACTGTAGGACCTGCTCTTCACTAAGTCCCACATTTCCTTTACCTTCTCAGCAGTCGGGAGCCTGTGTTTGTAGTACAAATGTTCTAGCTTGTTTTTCCAAGGTTTGATATAATCTCCTAAAAACACGTGCATCATTGCTGGCACTTTTTGTTTCCAGATCTGTCACCTAATTAGTTGACTGCCCCCTTTCCATCTCTCAGTCTTTTCTGTGATCTCTTAAGTGTGTGTTGAGGCAAATTTACTCCAGTCTAAATCATGCTTTAACCTACACAGGATCTTCAATTAAACTCTTTCAGAACACCATGGCGCAACACTTATGAGTGTCATTTTTATTTCCAAACATTTTAAAAGAAACTGCGCATTTCTAACGCAGTAAGAAAATTTAAGCCCATCTCCTGAGATTATTTCTGATACGGTTGAAAATCACAAGATGACTTTCATCAACTTCAGGAAAGAGAATAGTTAGTCTTGAGTCATTTGCCTTTCAGAAAAAATTGGGTAGTCTCTCAGTTGTCCTTTCACAGGGACAGAAGGCACTGGCGGCAGAATTGTGATTTCTAACCACTTTCCCCATCTCTAACACTGAGCAGCCATCACTGACATAGTTAACATTTCCAGACAGAAAAATTGAGCTAACAAGTTACCCTGTTTCAGAATTTTACACCCGTCCCTGCCCTATAAATATCTGCCCTACCAACACTGTTTGGAGTCCAGTGGGAACTAAGTTCAACAGTTTTTAACAGATTAGGCAAACCCTTCTTAGACTAGCTAGAAAGAACAGGTCTTTACCCCCTATATTTTGGGGGAATGTGACTGGTTGGTCTCGGTCTTCTTTAGGAACTTCAGGAGAAATACTCTGAGTAGCAGAAATAGTGGAGTTCCCGTGAGCGGTCCTTGAAGGTTCTTGAGAAATCTCATCCTGAGAACGGAAGGGGTGCGACGAAGCTCCCTCCCAGTTTCTGTGCCTGCTGCAGGAGCAGCACGAAGCACAACTCCCAGGTGGTCCGTCACGCAAACTCACCTGTTATCTCTCCCAATATAAACGGAGCATCACCAGCGCCCTAGTCCCAGCCGATCGAACGCATTCACCCCCCAAACTTCCCCACTGCCCACGGCTGATAATGTCCCTGTTCACGAAATAAAGCACACCGTCTACTTCAGAAAAGGTCGACCGAGGTTTGTGGTTTATTTTCGGCTGTAGCACCGGGGAAGGAAAGGGCTCCCCTTTTCCCCCCCGGACCTGATTGCCGGTCGGTGAACACGGCAACCGCGGAGAACGCAGGATGCGGCCGCTGCCTGTTTCTGCGAGGGCTGCGGCAGCCCTCCTGGGCTGCTCCTGGGCTAGCCCGAAGCACTGGCCTTTGATCTGGCTCTGGAGCCGAGTTCCAGCTGCAGCCTGATCAGGCATGGGCGAAGTCAGCTCGCTGCATGGTCTGGGGCTAAGGGTGGTAGCGCTGTAGGGAAACAGTTCCTCCGTTTGCCAGAGCTCGGCCGCTATTGCCACCTGCCTCGGCTTGGGAACCCCGCATCTCTGACCAGACTGGATATCCCTTGACTCCGATCTCACTTTGTGATCCACCATTCGGGGCTTGGAGACCCGTGTGGCTGGGAGAATCGGGACTGGGGACTCCACACACCATCCTTGTCTGCCCAGTCTACTGGAGAGGGAAGAGGTAGCACGATGGCTTAGTCCATGGAGCTTGTAGGACCTTTCACATGGCAGCAGCCAAGAAAGCAGGCTGAGGCCAGAAGCAAGGCTATATTATACCCTTCAAAGACCCACTGCTAGTGGCCCACTTCCGCCCAGAAGGAAATCTCCTATGCGGTGCCACCAGCTGAGAAACAAGCAGTCAAACATCTTCAAACATATGCCTGAGGCTGGCAGAACGGCTCAGAGAGTAAACTACTTGCCACAAGAGTCTAATAACCTAAGTTTAAGACCTGGAATCCACTGAGGGTAGAACAGAATGTACTTCACAAAGTTAGCCTCTGACTTCCACACGGGTGGTGTGGCACGCACAATCCCCCCTCCTACGATAATAAATAATAATGAAAACATGAACTGTAGGGTATCTGGTAGTGCCAACAGTAACAGATGCTAACTGCTGAACCTCTATGCTCTCTCCTTGGTGTAGGCAAGTCTACCCCTTGCCATCCCGTGTTGGTATACCCCTTGCTAGCCACTGGCAGTGTCTGAAAGCGGCTCCAGGATCTGATCAAGGACTTTCGAGGGGCTGCTACGTGTGGTATCTGGTTAAGTATCAGTACTCCACTGGATTTTAAGCAATGACAAAATAACCAGGAATTGTCACTTTTGTTTCTTGCCTAACTTTTTTTTTTTTTTCCTTTTCTTTGTATAGGCTCTTGCTCTATAGTTCAGGTCTAGCCTGAACTAACCATGTAGCCCAGGCAGACCATAAACTCATCATCCGGCCTTAGCTTCTCTTGAGTTCTGGTATGAAAGTCTATACTACCACACCTGGGTCCACTTTGCTTTTCAATACCCCTGTCTTCATCTTGTCTTCTACCGCTACCCTACTCTTCAATTCCCTTCTCTCCCTGCCAGAAGTAGAAAAGAAGGAAAAAATCACAAGTATTTGGCTCTTACTATGCATAAAGCATTGCAATGGTATTTCAATGAATAGTTTTCATTGAATCCATAATGTAATTGTGTGAGGGAGTTTTTATAATCGCCATTTCTACCATTTGGAAAAAAGGCAAAAGAGGTAAAGAACTTCTGAAGAGTAGGGTTGAGGTCAGGTGGAATGTTAGCCTCTGATACCTACACAAGCCCCTTTAGAGTGAGCGTCAAGCCTGGCCCATCCGGGAGATCTGTATCCACATGAGAAACTGGACATAGCTGACTGTTTTCTTTGAGAACAACGGCCTGGCCTGCATTCCTTTAGCACTGAGGCTCCAGTCTCAGCACCAGATGTCAGCCTGAAGAGATAAAATCAGCTGAGAAAAGCTGTATAGTGTCACAGAGAAGAACTGTAAGTACACTTAACTAAGTCCTCAGCTCCCCACTATTATACAGATACGCTATCAAGCTTTCTTGCTGGCCCATTCCCTTTTCTTTTATTCAAGCTTTTGTTTCTTAATTTAGAATTTTTCAAATTCAGTAACTCAATCTAACAGCATGGACTGTTTGGCTGCTCTCGTAGTGAGTTCCTTTTATGTTGCAGACACAACACAGTAAATATAAAACACACTCCCAGACCACATATGATTCACAGTATACAAGCCATGATATAGGAAGGACAGAAACGGGAACCAAGATATAGACCTATGAGACAGTGTCTGACATTAAGGCTGTGCAAGGTACTACAAGAGACACAGAAAAGAGGTGGAGGTGTGGGTGGAACGGGGAGCAGAGATGGAAATACTTCAGAAAAGATGCAATTTTGAACAATGCGAGCCCTCAGGTGATCAGGAACATCTTTGTATGTAGATGTTCCTCTACTGGAGGAAGACAGAATAACATCGAACCTGCTACGGAGGTCTGCGAAGGCAAGCCAGTTGGGAGAGCTGCAGTGGAAACTGGCTGAGTCGCTTTTCTCATGGCTATGGCCATATACTATTTAAGATCACAAACCATATATGGCTATGGCAACATCAGGAAGAAAATGCTCTGCTGGAGATGCAGCTCGGTTAGAATGTTCTCCTAGCATGCATGAAGCCCCGAGTTCAATCCCCGGCACCACACAGAAGCAGAAGGACCAGAAGGTCATCGAGCTGGTAGCCAGCCTAGGAGAACTGAGACCCTTGCTAAGGTGGAGAGATTTATTTTGGCACGTGGAGTAGTCTATCACTCCTGGGAAGGCACACTGGCGAAATACATGGTGCAGGCATAATGGCAGGACTTGCTTGAGACTGAAGCAATGGGCGAGTGAGACTGCTTGGTCACATCTCAATGCATCAGCAAGTGGAGGGAGACAAATGCTGGCACTCACCTGGCCTTCTCCTTTTCCCTCACTTTGTTCAGTCCTGGAAACCAGCCAATGGGATCGTGCCACCCACATTCAGAGCTTGTCTTCCCTGTATCACACACATACAGTTACACCTAAAAGTATGTACCTTATAAATGTCTAGGCATTTTTCCCAGCTAATCAAACTGAAATGAAATTTAACCAACATAGCATCTAAGTGAACTTCTCATTCCCTAGCTCTCTTTCAGAGTGTATGATGTCACTTGTGTTATTTTGGGTTCCCCAGTGCCAGACTATTGATCTTTTTCCTTATTTGTGCCCTTCCTACTTTAGTGTCTATCTGAAAATTTCTTAAATCCCATTAGGCTTCTACAATCACTAAGCAGTTCTTACTTCCAGAAGCCCTTCCTGCTTGTCGTCTCACAATTCCTGCTCATTCTCTGTCTCTACTCGTTACTGCTGTCTAATGGTTTCTGAAGGAGACCCTCTCTTGTGTGTCATTTGGCGACTGGTTTTCCTGGCAGCTGCATAGCCCTTTCTCATTATCATGGTCATATTCTATAAGAAAGGAATCAGTTTGCTGCTTCATTTCTAACCTTTTTTTTGGACCAAACTCTTATACAAATTAGTGTGTTGAAATATAAGACAATATAATGTGTGTGTATACAGTCTCATATGAACTGTTTTCTGGTAGACTCCTGTCTTATACAGTGAATTTGAAAAGACAGGCCCGACAAAGAAAGAACACTCTGCAGAGCAAGCTCAAGAGGCTTATAGTTTTGCCTCACTTTAAGAGAAATATGTATTGGCTGGATGGTAGTGGCACTTGAGAGGCAGAGGGTTATGAGCTCGAGGACAACCTGGTCTACAAAGCAAGTTCCAGGAAAGAAAGAAAAATATGTATGTAAAATATTTAGAACATCTATCCGAATTCACCAATATTCACTTAGTTTTAAACTCTGCAACTTCCATCTTTTGAAATTGTTTCCTATTTTATTTTCTTCTTTCCCTCGTAATGCAATGAAAGGCAAGACTGTGCATATTACAGAAATGGAACTTAAAATAAAACTCCCTAGGACTACTTGACAAGAAAGCCCAAAGAAATACTTATCAGTTTAAAATAAAAATGTCAGAAATTAAAAAAATAAAAAATAAAAAAAATGTCAGAAATTGGGAAATGAAGGGATGAAGGGCATAGGAGGACTTCTTTCCTGGTTCTTCTAAATGACACGGAGAGGAGGCTTCTCTCTACTTTAAGCTCCTAGAGGGGAAACACTTGGGATGGAAGAAGACAGAGGAGGTCAAAGGGAAAGAGGATATTCATATGTTTAAGGTGAGTAAAAAGAATGGGATAAAACTTCATTATGTCTATGCTAAGCCACCATTGTATTTGGCACTTAATATCTATCAGTGATGAAAACAATTTTAAGCCCTACCATCTTTTGATAGAACAATCATAACTAGTATCAGAACAGTTTTATAAGGGAGACTGGCAACAGTCTTTATAGGAGACTGAATTTAAAATTTATGACTTTAAGAAATCTGAAACAAAAACCCATAGTCAAATCACCTAAAAACTTGGGTGTGGATTCAAGACAAATCCAGACTCCCCCTTTCCTCTTACATTCCATTAGGGATATGGCCATAGGTCTCCCAGGACTTTTCATTCTTCTGGAACTTACACTGCAGACCAGGCTGGCCTCAAACTCACAGATATCTGCCTGCCTCTGCCTCCCAAGTGCTGGGATTAAAGGTGTGTGCCACCACTACCTGGCTCAGCCTGTTTTCTTATAGAACCCAGCATACCAGTCCAGGGGTGGCACCACCCACAAAAGGGTGGACCCTCCCCAATCAATACTAATTAAGAAAATGAGGTACAGGCAGGCTTGCATACAGTCCAGTCTTATAGAGGCATTTTCTCAATTGAGGTTCACTCCCCTTAGATGACTACAGCTTGAGTCAAGTCAACATAAAACTAGACGGCAAACCCAGGTTCTGTCTCCTATTCATTTCAAGAATTCTAATTCAAAGAGATAGTTCTTCTAACTTTAACAGCCCGATATCTCCAATCTCCTCTACTACTAATAGACATTACTGTGGTGATTTGATAGGCTTTGGGAAATATTAGGAGCTGTGACCTGATTGGAAGAGGAGAGTCATTGGGGGTGGTCTTTCTCTGTGTGTCTCTCTGCCCACTACTTGTGGTTTGAGATGTGAGTTCTCACCCACTCATACTTCTCTTTGTCATCATGGATGCTAACTAACCCTCTGAAACCATAAGCCCAATTAAATGCTTCATTTACTGTTACTTTGGGCATAGTGCCTTATCACAGCAATAAAAAATAAACTAAGACAAATATATTTTGGGAATTCATCTACAATAGAATGTGTTAATCTCTCCCTGCTTCATAAAATATAAATTATCTTTTTGAGCTAGGCCTATGCCTTATTTATATTTTCTGCACCCAATAATATCACGTGGTATTAACTTTCCTCATACTTAGTACATGGTGTGAGCTTTATCTCATTAATCCTTAGAGCTACGTGTATCTTATAAGATATGTATAGTATAAATACATGTTACACTCTGGATAGCTTTAGAAGGGAGATGAAGTCTACGTACATGAGAGTACTGGAAAAGGGACTGGAGAGGTGGCTCAGCAATTGAGACTAGTGTCTGCTTTTCCAGAGGACCTGGGTTCAATTCCCAGCACCCACATGGTAGCTCACAACCATCTGTAGCTCCCGTTCCAGGGGATCCGACACCCTTACACAGGCGTACATGCAGGTAAGCCACCCCAACGCACATAAAATAAGAATAAATAAAGCTTTTTTTAAAAGATTACTAGAAAAAAGTTAATTACTGAATTTAAAAGATATTTACTAAGCACCTAAGAGTCAGGAATTATGTCCTGGGACTACTAGCGTGAATTAGTTGGCTTTTGAGGTATTTGCAAGCCACTTGGCAATTCTCTTGTGAACACTTCAGTGGCTTGCAGATCAATGCACCATTATTTTCATGTTCACAGGAACGGAAACGGCATTTGAATTTCCAGATCTTCTGACTCTAAGACCAGAGGTTTTTCTTCCCCATTTAATTGGCATGCCTCGGATTTTTCCATTTTCCATTGTCACGTACGTCCTCAAGGGAAAATAAGCTTACACTCTCTGAGACTGGGATGTATTCATAATCAATGCTATCTTAAAAATTCATATTTACTAAAATGTTTTCCATTACCTCCCACGGGAGTTAAACTGAAACCGAGAACATGAATCACACTGATTCTAGGAGTGGCCTTTACTCAGGGTCTATGGGTTTGACTTGATTCCCCACCCAAATTTACAGGTTTACCATTTTTTTATCATATTTCTTAAAGGTATAGTTTTTGTTGTTTTGTCTTTTTGTTTAATTCCAGTCTCCTATGAAAACTGTAACAAAGGCCAAACTTACCTGCTAGATGTTTAATGTAAGCAATGATCCTTCTTTTCCTGAAATTATGTATCTCTCATTCTGGCAATGGGATCTCTTGAGTCTGTGACGATATGCAAACCCTCTCATGGTTGGTTGAACCTAATGGTTCCAGATGTCTGCTCCAACTGCCCTGCTGCCAGTCCCTGAAGGCCTCAGGTCTGCGTAAACATACTTCGTTCAGAATCGCCGCTAGAGGGCAAGTCGGGGCTGTAGCTCTGCTGAGCCCTCTAGTGGCGACGGTGGGGTACGTGGCTCTTTATGGAACCTATTAAAAAACTGCAAAGTTGCCCTCGGGAAGCCAGCCTGTGTGACACCCGGTAGTGAAGTTATTTTAAAGACATTTCGGTTCTCGACTTCCTTTTCTTAAGATCTTTAGCACGTCTCACTTACCTTTCTTTGATGATTCTCCCCATCAGGGTGTGGCAATGTGAACCCATCATTCTCCCTTCAGGAGGTTAAAAAAAATTTAGAAAAAGGGGTCTGGGCCACTTTCCCCTTGTCTTTTTATATCACCTTCTCCACAGCTACAGAATTTATAAATATGCATTCAAGATCTTCCGTTACAATCCTGGCTTCAACAACGTCTTGCTGGGTCTAAAACCAACCTTCACAATTTAAACCCGACTCTTACATTTAGTTAAGCTGATAACTAAGAATGCCACTTACCTTTTCTAAGCTTTTGTTTCATCTGTAAAACGCACAGAATAAGAGTATCTATATGACTTAGTTTCAGAAAGCATAATTATAACCGCGTACAGAAAGGGCGACTATGGCACAGTAAGTACTCATGGAGCATTAGCTATTCTTCAGTTATGCCACTGTGAACAATAATACCTGTCAGTTAGCGCCGGGAAAACGCAGTATATGCAGGACACACTGGTACATGTGCGAGATGGATTTAATAGTAGCTTACACTTAGCCTAAAGCCGGGGTGTCCCGAGGTTGTGAAAAAGGGGGCTCGTTTGTGTGATACAATTCACACACTGGGTACTTGGAACGCAGTCTGGATCCTCAGGAAGGAACCGTATTTTGCTCCCTCCACCCATCCAGGTGCAAACACTCAGAGTGAGTCTGTGAACCAGGCCTGAGGCCACACCGACAAAAGCAAGAGAGTTTCAGGCCAAGGCAGGGAACAGAGCACTCAAAAGACCAAGCAGCCCACGCCAATCAGATTCACCACCCACTGGAAGTCTGAAAGGTGGCAGAGGCTCCTAGCTCAAAGTCCATCCAGGAAAGTGGCCAAGAAAATCTGACAGGAAGAAGTCTGACAGAAACACGGTCAGAAAAGTTAGGAGCCGGAGGCTCACGACAGCCACAGGCACACAGAAAGGTCAGTGGGAGCTGCGCAGCTGTTCCATCTTGTGCCAGAGGCTTTGGCCGTTGTCTTCTACACCCAGGCGCTCAGCCTTCCCGACCAGCCCCACCTAGAAAAGCCAATTCTGCTCTTGGAGAAGGGATGATCCGCTGGAGGAGGCAGGGAGTCTCGCCCTCTGCCAGCAAAGCTCTCCAAGTATGAATGGGAAGAGGGCTGAGGGTGGGTTCAGATGGCTGCAGAGGAAGAGCTCTTGGCTGAAGCCTTGTGCCTCCATGTTGTGTTACATGTGTTTCTTCGAGGAACAGGAGGGGCCTTGGCTGCCAGGGACCCTGACAAGCCGCGACTTGAGCCGCGTCTCGGGGCCCGGGCTGAATCGGGAGTCTAAGGCAGGGAGGGCACTCCTGGCAAAGGGGGTGGGGAGCGGCATGGGCAAAGGCACCAAGGAAGAATGAATCTGCTGCGCGCCGAGGATGGCATGGAGACTCCACTGATTGGAGCGGGGAGTTCTTGCAGGGGGATGGAGGCGGCCGTGATTGGACAGCTAAAGTGGGGCCAGATTTGGAGGGCTTTGAATGCCCGACCGAGGAGCACTTCAACCCAGCTACTCACTTGCCATTTCCCTCCCGAGCAGGCCGAATCAGCTCGCGGCGCCCGGCTCCTCCCCGGGAGGGCCGCCGGGAGCCGAGCGAGAGCTCTCACCTGCTTCGGCAGCCGGGCCGCGGACCGAGGGAGGGAGCGAGCGGAGGGGAAACGCGCGAGCGAGCGTGTGTCTGTGCGCGTGGAGGGGCGGGGGAGCGAGAGGTCGTGGAGGCTGGTTTCACCTTACACGCCAGGAAGCAATAAACTGTCCCTCCCACGCCGCGCCGCGGCCCCGGGCCGCTCCCCGCCGCCGTGCCCCCCGCGTCCGCCCGGGCCCCGCTCCCTCGGGGCGGGGGGGACCCCGCGGCGGC